AACATGATTGAGAAATTCATAAGCGACAGCCCATGCAAACCCAAAACGTGTATGCACATACTCTTTATTTATTCATTTGTTTTCTACGTTTCTTTCAGATTCAGCAGAGGTTATTCAGTCTAGGCTGAATGAGCAGGAAGGCAGAGAAGAGTTTTATGTCCACTATGTTGGATGTGAGTGAAACTGCCTTATCATTCATGGCTGACACAAATGCTTTACAGGTTTGTGTATTACTGATTCACTGAGCACAAGCTCTCTTTTGTCACTTGCAGTTAACAGACGTTTAGATGAGTGGGTTGGAAAGGCTCGTTTGGCCCTGACAAAGACTGTGAAAGACGCAGTGAGAAAGAGTGTGGAGGAAGGTGGTGGTGGTGGAGGTGAACTTGTGGACCAGCCAGAGAGGAAGATCACCCGAAACCAGAAGCGTAAACATGACGAGATCAACCACGTTCAGAAGGTACCTGTCATCACGTTTCTGCACATCTAAATGACACAGTGTTAATCAGTGTTTTGTCTGAGGAAGGCCACATCAGTCTGATAGCATCTATGATAATGTGTAATTATTTGACTGCTTCTTTTCTTCTTTCAGACTTATGCAGAGATGGACCCCACTACGGCAGCCCTGGAAAAAGAGCATGAAGCAGTAAGAGGGGGCAACATTTGCATAAAAAAATCTGCTTTGCGTTCTCACAATGCTTAATATGGTGTTTTACATCAATATCAGTAACAAACTATGTCTATCTGTTTTCTCATTTTTATCAAAAACGTTGCTTTTATTTTCAGATCACAAAAGTAAAATATGTGGACAAGATTCAGATTGGAAACTTTGAGATTGATGCATGGTACTTCTCTCCATTCCCTGAGGACTATGGAAAACAGCCCAAACTTTGGATCTGTGAATACTGCCTGAAGTATATGAAGTATGAGAAGACTTTCAGATACCACCTGGTCAGTTCACACAATGGTTTTGTTGTTGATGCACACAGTAACGTCTGTTATTAAACCATAGGGGGTGCTATACATCTGTGCTAATGAGCTGAATGGCTTGGGATAGAGTGCAGCAGTGATGAGGTATTTCTGTAGGCCAACCCAGAAGTTAGCATCACCCTTCTTCTGTCAACGAAAAATCAACAGGATTTTTCCAGTCGATTATTTTTTTTTTTAAATAAGCTCTGTGACCAACAAAAGTTTATGATTCTGACATGTTCATCAAGATAATCTTCACAAATGAACAACTTTTATGAATTACGTGTAAATACAATCACCAGAAATAAAAAGATAAAGCTCTAAGCAAACTACACCACAGCTGGATGACTTCTATCTCACCACCACTGAGTTTGTGACAACTCTTTCAATCTTTATTTAAAATCTTGAAACGTTTTAGTTAGTATGGCTTGCAGAAGTGTGATTATGAACACAAGAAGACTGCAAAAGCAGACTAGTGAATAGATGAGTTTTCCTTTTTAGCATGATTAATGTTCCTGTTTAATGTCTCCAGCAACCTCTGTAGTCCCATATAGGCACTTATTTGCAGCCTTCTTTTTTTAAGATGTGTAAAAGCTTTAAAAAAATCATGAATGGTGTGTTACTGATGTATTTTATGTTGTAGAATAGATTGTGTATGTATTAGACCTTAATTCAGGCCTTTAACCAAAAGCCTATTCAAAAAACCCACTGACTTCAGGACAATGAAACTGGAAGTGCAAAAATCTTTGTCGATCAGCTGATTTTAAATTGTGTGTTTTTGTGTTAGTTTTATAACATTTCTGGCTTCCCAGAGTAAGGTTAATGTTCTCATTGAATTTATACTGTCCTTTGTTTTACTTCTTTGTCCCTCAATGGCTCCTGTTTCAGTCGCAATGTCAGTGGCGTCAGCCTCCAGGCAAAGAGATTTATCGCAGAAACAATATCTCAGTGTACGAGGTTGATGGGAAGGACCATAAGGTGAGCCAGATCATACCTGCCTTTAAAATGAAGCATAGAAACAAATTCTTTTGTGACAGATTTCAAATCTCTATGCAGTGGTAACTTTTCCCTACAGTTTGTTGTTCTCACTGTCCTTCTCACTGTAGATCTACTGTCAGAATCTGTGTCTCCTGGCAAAGCTCTTTCTGGATCATAAAACACTTTACTTTGATGTAGAGCCATTCATCTTCTACATCCTCACTGAAGTCAACAAACAGGGAGCACATATTGTGGGTTACTTCTCTAAGGTAAAGTGTTTCTTTGGTTTGTTTTTACAGCGTATCTTGTTTATTTGTATCTTGATTAACAATGTGTTCTTGATGAGCAGGAGAAGGAGTCTCCAGATGGGAATAATGTCGCTTGTATTCTCACTCTTCCTCCATACCAGAGAAGAGGATATGGAAAATTTCTAATTGCATTCAGTAGGTTTCACCCCTGATTCACCTCTCAGCAGATGTTCCCTTCTGTTATAAGCATATACACCGATAACTTGTCATATTCTTCTCAGGTTATGAGTTATCTAAGCTGGAGAGGACGGTGGGGTCTCCAGAGAAGCCTCTGTCAGACTTGGGGAAGTTGAGCTACAGGAGTTACTGGTCTTGGGTACTACTAGAGATTCTGCGAGACTTCAGAGGGACGCTGTCCATCAAAGACCTCAGGTACACATCCAGTCCCAAATACAAGAACAAACCTGTATGTAAACAAATGCATGAGGTTGCATGCAGAGTCAACTGCCAAGGCTTTGATGAAGAGATCTAACTAATGCATAATGTCTACACCCACCCACCCACAGTCAGATGACGAGCATTACTCAGAGTGACATCATCAGCACACTACAGTCTCTGAACATGGTCAAGTACTGGAAAGGTCAACATGTCATCTGTGTCACACCAAAACTTGTAGAGGAGCATCTCAAAAGTGCCCAGTACAAGAAACCACCGATAACAGGTAACAGATCTGCCCCTTGTTCTATTCCTTGCTTTATATATGTGTTAACATGCTTTAAAGAGTTTAAACATTTACATTTTGTTTCTACAGTGGACACACATTGTTTGAAATGGGCTCCTCCCAAACACAAGCAGGCCAAGTTCCCTAAAAAGTGAACATCGCAAAAATGAAGAGCGTGACACTGCCTCTTCACCCAAGATGTTTTTCACCGCTAACCTAAATGTCATGTAGAAATACTTTCTCCAAGAGGGAAAGATCTAAGATTGTACATTCGCAATGTAATGAGTCTGTTATTTTTTTTTTTAAATAAATGATTAGTAATATTCATGTCATTGTTTGTGAGTCATCTTTACTTAAAAATTAACATTTTAGTGCATCAGTATGGTAGGCCTACTTCAGTTCTGTGTTCTGTGAGGTAGTTTAATATACCAGACTCCCCTTCATGTTCACATGGCTTTTGGAAGAAGAAAGTTGTAAAGTCAAGCTACATTATGCTGAATTATTCATTTGGCAGTATGGAATTACTGTTTCACATAAAGCACCTGTCTGGCTTTTAGGTGAAAGTCTCCCTATATACACTGTACTGAGAATAAGGTGTGTGTGTGTGTGTGTGTGTGTGTGTGTGTGTGTGTGTGT